GCCTCCGACACTTGGAAAACAAGCTATCATAGTACAGTACCAAACTCAAATGTCATACGACAGGCTCTGTCATATGACACTGTCGCCGAAGACCGTCACGAATGTATGTTTTTTAGTTTGTCTCATAATAAGAGCTGCTGATGTTGTGCTTGTGTGAATTCTGAAAATAGCAAGCAATGATGTCCTAGGAATAACATTTCTGATCAGATATGGTTTAATTTACACCAAGTTGAGGAATTAGAACGAAATTACTCATGTCATACGATAGTTATTTGATAATTTTCTTTTCGCTCGAATGTTATTCTACCGGTTGTGTTGTGTGAGAGAGACGACGGTAGAGCATAAGTGTACGAATAAAAACAGACTGTCGCGCACGACAACGAAGTGAGTGTAGTAAAAAACGTCAACTGTTTCAACCCCTGCCCATGCTGACTTCGGTTCTGATCACCTTCCAGTAACTTTTGAAATATCCCAAGAAATAATTTGTAATCCCAACAGTTCTATTTTCAATTACCATAGAGCTGATTGGGAGCAGTATCGAACATTTATGGAATATAACTTCGATCCAAACATTCCTTTGCAAACTAAAGATGAAATTAATTATGCTCTTGAATCTCTGACTACTTCTATAGTTGCAACAAGAGCTGCCTCAGTACCAACATGCGAGGTTAAATTCGATTCAATTATAATAGACGACGATCTTCAGCTCTTGATCCGTCTTAAAAATGTCCGTAGGAGACAATATCAAAGAACACGTGATCCTGCCATGAAGGTTATCTGGCGGGATTTACAAAAACAAATTAAAAGCGATTCTCTGCCCTGAGGAACAAAACTTTTGAAAATAATATTTCTAAATTAGACCCGAGTTCCAAACCCTTTTGGAAACTCACAAAAATTTTGAAAAAACCTCAAAAGCCTATTCCAGCGCTTAAAGAAGGTGGTAAAATTTTAATCACAAATTTGAAAAAAGCTCAGAAACTTGCTAAGCAATTCGAGAGTTCCCATAATTTCAGTTTGGGTTTTACTAGTCCTATTGAGAATCAGGTTGCTCGGGATTTTCTGAATATTTTCTCTCGGGAAAATATTTTTGATGATTCCTGGGGGACTGATTTGGACGAAGTATTTAAGGTCTATAACTAAAAAGTTTCAAAATATGAAAGCTCCAGGTGATGATGGAATTTTCTATATCCTCATCAAAAAACTCCCAGAGAGTACCTTGTCTTTCTTTGTCAAATTATTTAACAGATGTTTCCATTTTGGCATACTTTCCTGATAAATGGAAAAATGCAAAAGTTGTTCCAATTTTGAAGCCGGATAAAAATCCAGCTGAAGCTTCTAGCTACCGCCCAATAAGTTTGCTTTCTTCAATAAGTAAACTTTTTGAAAAGATAATTTTGAATAGAATGATGCTTCACATCAATACGAACTCAATTTTTGCAGATCAGCAGTTTGGATTTCGCCATGGGCATTCAACTACTCATCAACTCTTAAGAGTTGCCAATTTAATTCGTTCAAACAAATCGGAAGGCCACTCAACTGGAGTTGCTCTTCTAGACATAGAAAAAGCATTCGACAGTGTTTGGCATGAAGGTTTGATTGCTAAATTGAAAAAGTTTAATTTTCCACTTTATATTATGAAATTAGTTCAAAATTATTTAACTGACAGAACTCTGCAGGTAAATTATCAAAATTCCAAATCTAATCGACTACCTGTTAGAGCAGGAGTTCCTCAGGGTAGCATTCTTGGGCCTATATTGTATAACATTTTCACTTCGGACCTCCCTGATTTGCCTCAGGGTTGCCACAAATCTTTGTTCGCTAATGACACAGGCATTTCCGCTAAAGGAAGAAGTCTTTGTGTTATTTGCAGCAGACTGCAGAAAAGTTTAGATATTTTCTCTTCTTATTTACAAAAATGGAAGATTTCTCCCAACGCTTCCAAAACTCAACTTATAATATTTCCACATAAGCCTAGAGCTTCGTTTTTGAAACCTAGTAGTAGTCACATAGTCACTATTAACGGAGTTCCAATTTCCTGGTCAAACCAAGTGAAATATCTTGGATTAATACTTGACCAAACATTAACTTTTAAAGATCACATTGAGGGCATTCAAGCTAAATGTAACAAATATATTAAATGTTTGTATCCTCTTATAAACAGGAAATCCAAACTTTGCCTGACGAATAAACTTCTAATAATTAAACAAGTTTTTAGACCGACCATGCTTTACGCGTGTGGTCTTGTTGTTGCACTACCAGGAAAAAAGCACTTCAAAGGATTCAGAACAAAGTTCTGAAAATGATTTTGAAGTTGCCTCCCTGGTACAGTACTACCGAGGTACATAGAATTTCGAATTTTGAGACTTTAGAACAAATGTCCAACAAAATAATTAATAATTTCAGGCAAAAATCGTTGCAATCCTCAATTGCAACGATTAATTCCCTTTATACTTAGATAAGATTTAGTTTTAGTTTTTAGTTTTAAGATATCAATTGTTATACTGACATGCAGGTTAAAAAACCTGTTTAAAGTACTGAATTGCCAAGACACGAACAATGTAAAAACACTTATATATATATCATAACAATTAAGGCTGGTACGTTACTGCAGTAACTGGAGCACCTAGGTTAAAATTGAATGTAATTTATTTTGAATTTGGAACAAATAAAGAGTTAAAAAAAAAAGAGAATCAATCATCGCGTATACGCCCTTATGTATGCTCACTGTCGAACTGGCTTTTTTTTTCCTTTGGTTTGTTTTTTTCCGTCGATTTTGTTTTCCGTGCTGAGCACCAATGCTACCGACGTGCCAGGAAGGCAGCTCCCACATCTGGACCCTACCTATCGACCCATCAACTCATGAACCGGGGACCAACGGCTTTACTTCCCATCCGAAGGAAGGCGTGATCAGAGATGTTATGCCTCAGAACATCCCGGCGGTGCCGACTGGGATTGAACCCAGGCCTGTTGGCGTGAGAGGTAATCACGCTTACCACTACACCACCGGCGCCGTTGTCGAACTGGCTTATAAACAACAATTTCGGCATCAACATTTCAATAGGGCGAAACTGCTTTTGTAAACTATGACTTCAGTCGTCAATTTATGGAGAATAGAAGATTATCCAAGCCGTTAAATAATATTAGCTGGCAAAGGAATTATGTCCCTACCTATTACTGTTGTTAATTTATGAGGATAAACTTTTATTCGCCAGAAACCAACGATTGAAGTTTTGGTTTACAAAAACAGTTTGGCCCTATTGAAATTTTTCTGCTGATTTGTTTTTCTGTGTACACATTTTTATTTATATTGAGTTATCAATCGAGTTGTTGTTATTGAGTTTACATTTATTGAAATACAATTTTTTTAATTATAATTTCAGTCAGTGAAGGCATCAACGACGTTGAAACATTTCTCGAGCTGAACGATCAAGATTTTGTTCGTCTCCGCCTAAAAACAAAATTGATCAAAATCATACAGAAAATACAGAATGAATACCTAAGCGACCCTATCATTGAAGAACTCAAATACGATCCACTAGACATATCAGAGAGCCCCGAATACAAAAATCATCCAGCTACCAACCCTTATCATGGAATCATATTAGAAAAGGTTTGATTTTTTTTATATATTTGCGTCACGTGAGAAAATTCACTAGTTGTGCACCTATTTTATTTATATTTTGTCTGTAACAGTAGAAGCCAATTTTGATGCATAAAAAAAAAATGGGATACAAATCTTTCGACGGGGGTACCTGCATAACAAAAAACGAAATGATAATGGGAAACAGTTCTGCTACCAGTTTTGCTTACTCTTGCATAGAAACATTGATTTTCTTTTTAAGTCTCATGTTTATGATATTTGTCATCGTTACTCACCGTTTCCTAAGCAGTAGCGTAGAGTTGACGCCAATTGCGATTTCCTCGAAATGCTCCACTTCCCGCGCAATTTCCTCGAGCATGACACAACCAACAATTTCCACTTGTCCATTTTCGGCAAAGTTCCGCGTTATGATTTTACCATTTCTTTTGCATGTCGTTTTCAAGTTGTCATGGGACGTCCATTCTCGCAATAAGCATTTATTCCTCCATGGATCTTCTGACAAACGGTCTTTTCAGGAGGTCATCAACAATATCCTGTTCCATGATTCCTATTTAATTTTGCACTATGCCATGAACAATATTCCATCAATGCGCTGAGGCTACTGAATGAAATGCAGACATGGTAGTGAGAAAATTTCAAAATTTAAAAATTCGATGTGTGCGTGTAGGTAGGTATACAACGAATGACGGCTCTCCAAGATTCAATCAATTCAGAGAGAAACTCAAATGCGACGTTGCCTATACGTGCCAATTTATTCTCTTCTCTTTAAACTGTGCAAAGATGGAAGTGCACAAAATAAACACTAACACAGCGGCAATTATGCTTACGGGACTTCAATACATATACAACTGATCTGGTTGTAAATACGAGCGTTTCTGGTGCACAAGCATAAGTGCTCAGACTGGGAGAACTAAGCATGCGGTGGCTTTGGTAGAACGAAGGCATATTTTCTTTGCTTGTTTTGTGTCGCTCAAAATCCCAGCGTGCCCGTACGTTTAAACAAGATCGCTATGCCTCGCTTCTGTTTTACGTACATTTTTTTCAGTGGTGTGTAAAACGGAGGTTGAGCAGCGATGTGGTAAACAATTCAGCTACTATCCAGTGATGTGGTGGATAATTCAGTTACTATCCATATGAAACCAATAAATAGGACGGACAAAATGGTTTTAATTGAGTATTAAATTTTTGTCTCTTAATTTTTATGAAATATAAATTTTCCTTTTTAAAATTCGAGACTGTGCAGTGCACGAGGTGCACATATGGACGAGACGCCACTGAATTATTTGATAAATTAAAGCAAAATAATGAATGATCCAATATCTTATTTAGGTTATCGACGTTGATGTTATTTTGAACCGAACAAGATCAGAAAAAGAAATCATGGAGCTGCTGAAGGAAGAAACTAACCCGAACGACAGATGCTTGACTATGATTAATCATATCCTTTGCGACTTTTTGAAGTGGAATTTTGGATTGTAAGGGATAAAAGGTTAGGTTTGTAGAGGAATTAATTTAATTGATTGACTTGATTCTATTTTAGGCATCCCACTACATTTCATAAAAATTGATTGGCATTGTCCCTCGTTACCTCATATCCTGTTCTGGCATCGACGACTCGTGACGTTCCTCAAGCGTTGTGGTTCCATCCTCATGGTCGTGGAAAATATCGACATGCAGGACGGATCCATTATCATATGGAATACCTGTCTCGGAAATCCAACGAAAGGGTTATCAGCCGACCCAAACTTACTTCGCAACAGCCAGTGGTGCAATCCGACCCCATACCGGAGGTTTCCGAAGCTAATATCGATCAAATTGTATGTAAATAATATGATTACGTTTTAATTATTTTTTTTTTCAATCAGTCATTTTTTTTCCTAGATTCTTGAATTGAAATTTCTGTGTCCTGGTCCCAGTACCCGATCTCGCGCAGAGGAGCTCTGGATTGCAACCTTCAGAGACCGTGACAGTATTAGGAAGAAAGGTGAATTTCATGAGTATACGAAACTCTACTCGGTTGGTTCCGCATTCGATGGCGTTATGGTAAGAAAATAAAGTAAAACTGGAAGTACTATGAACTTAATTTTGTGTCATATTAGATTTCGTTGGATTTTGACATACTTCACCCTGGAGCATTAGATTTTCAAGAAAGATTTATAATCTTCCAAGACAAGATTTTGGCAAGATATGACAATCTATATCAGCACGTTCAGGATGGTAAATACTTATTTTGGTGATATTTACATGATAGGAACGAATTAATATTATTCTATTCTTCTTAGAATTTATGCGAGCATTGGCCATCATCCGTATCAAGAACCCGTCACGAGGTGCTAAACGAACAAACCAGGGCAATGTCGATAGAAAAAATCCGTTGGATGGAATCATCGAATGGGTGGAGGTAATTTGAATTTAATTAATCGTTTGTGAACGATTTAAAACTTAATCTTTTTTAATAGGTGGATAACCCATTTCCGGTTGTGACTGCCAACACGCCGGTATTGTACGTGAAAGCAAAATCGACGGTGTCATTTTCTGGAAGGAATCCGTAATTCCGATTGCGAAGGATATGACGAATTCCTTTCGCATTCTCTGTGAATCATTCGAGGTCTTCAATTGCAGCGTGAACCCGACGGACAAGCAGTTTTTTAAGTTTATTTTCGCTACAATTCTCGGAATTGGAACCCTCTCTACCACGGGTGAAAAATGTATACGTAGCTTGGAGTAACTTTTTCCTTGTCCAGAATCAAATGTCATTGTTATTGAATAAATATAAAAATAATATTATAAGTATATTAATAAAACCATAGCTTGGAAACAAAATCTCAACAGAAAATTACAATACGCTTCGGTTATTTTTTTAGCAAAACTCGGTTATTTTTGTGGAAATATTCCGTAATTAATAACCGGATAATTGCAACAAAAAAAAAACTAAATGACGAGCCGGTCGGTAAGCAGAGGTTTTCAAATCCTCTGAGCCGATTTGGGTTGACATTCGCAACATTTGGTGACCTAAAATCATAGGGAATCGTCAGTAAATGAAAAAGGGTCCTTACCGTTTTCATACTCCATTCCACAGTTGGCAGGTTTTAATTTATCTCCATATTTTGAATCTGTAATCCATTAATTTTTCAACATGGCACGCAGACCGTTGACGTTGACGGAGTTCAATGAGGCGTATCTGCATCTACGCTATGATCATTTGCATCCCGACGAGGTTGACTTTGAATTAAACTCCCGTGGTGTTGTCATCCTTCCTGAGTCAGATAAATCGGGATCACAAAGACGTCGTCGTTTGAGGGGATTGCTGAACAGCGAGATAGTGCAAGCTACGAATGCTGTTCGGTCGTTCAAAGGGGATGCTCAATTCGAATTCGGGACGTGTCGGGAGAAGTTTGAGTCCATGAGGGAAGATTTACACTATAGGTGCCCAAATAAGGAGATATTTCGGAGCAGGTTACTTCATTTGGGAGTCCGGCTCCAACTCTTGGAAAAATATGTTGTAGGGGAGGAGTTTTCGGTCACTAGGAAATGTTTACAGGAAGTGATCGCTTTATGGGACTATCACTTCGAAGACAGTCCTGCCTCCACTCCGCCGACCAACGAGGAAGAAGAGGACGAAGTTGGCGATGATGATTTGGTGGATCAAAATCCTGATCCGGAAATCACATCACTGAACCAAGATGAACAACAAGTTGTTGAAAATCCAAGTGACAAAACCGTAGGAAATAAACTTTTGAAGGTCTTACTTGATATCAGGGCGGAGATTAGAAGCGTACAGGACCAAATCTCGCTGAATGAGTCTCGTAGCGATATACGAGTAAGCTCTCTCCAACGTGCGGTCAAGAACCTGAGCAGCGAGATAACTGCTATTACGAAGATTGCTGCTGATCTAAAGAAAACGAATCAGGAAGTTGAAGAGCTTCGTGATACGGTTTCGGGATTGCAGTGTATCATAAAGCAAATTCTTCCACGCGTTATTTTTCAAGATCCGCCACCCAGAAGGGGTGATCTTGGATTGGATGAAATTCCAGAACATCCGGAACTGCATGATGTCCGACAACCAACGGTAGAATCAGACAATCTAGTTGATTTGTTAAGGCAATATTCGATGCCTACAAATAAAGCAAACATTCAGAACATAGGGGATTCTGGTTTGTGGGACAGTTAAAAAAAAAATCATCCAACCTGGTTATCATTCTCAGAATCATTTCAAACAACCTACACTCCCGAACCACACTTACCCAAATCAAGGGAGAAGTGACCACAACGGGTGGCTGACTGGAAGATTCATAAATACGCTGGGAATGATGAAGGGACTGGACTGAATGAGTTTTAGAAACTGTTCACCACTATGCGGAATCAGAGCAGATTTTGGAAGAGGAACTTTTTAATTCAGCGATGCACTTGTTCATCGGGAATGCTCTGGCGTGGTATAAGGCTATGCAGTCGCAAAAGCGACTCTTCAATTGGAATCATCTTGTATGCGAGTTAAAGGCGAATTTCGTTCACCCGGAACTCGACGCCACGCTGAAGATGAAAGCGTCTCAGCGTCGCCAACAACGGAACGAATCCTTCCAGCAGTTTTACCTGGAAATGGAGTCAATTTTCCGAGCCATGACTACGCCACTATCCTCAAGCGAGAAGCTCGAGCTTTTCAAGCGTAATCTTAGGCCTGATTATAAACAGTTTCTTATTACCAAACCGGTGAACACGCTTGCTGAATCACTTTGCCTCGGTAAATCAATCGATGCTTCTAGAACTCCCATTTACTACAAGGTATTCGGCAGTTCCAAAGAAGTCGCTGCAATCTCCGAAAAACCTGTATTAGCTGATTTTAGAGAGAATCAGAAACAGCAGGGTGGAAACGGGGATTCATCAAAATCAAGAAGTAGGATTTTTTGGAATAGAAATGTTCGACCACCTTCCCCAGAAATTCGAAATTCGTCGCCCAACCGACCAAGAGACGTGGATGGCCAGACGGATAAAAATCTCCACGAGAAAACCAATCAACATTTTAAATCCACACAGCCACAGGAAACCATTATCTGTTTAGACTTCTTGGTGAACCAACATCGTCCACCAAACCTCGGTGTCTGCTATAATTGCGGGACCAAAGGACACGAGCATGAAGCGTGTTCTAAACCAAAACGGGTACTCTGTGCGGTGTGTGGGTTTAAAGGATTCGAGTATTCCCATTGCCCTTATTGTTTGAAACATGGGATTAGGTCCAACCAAGGGTCCAACTAATTCAATGGACTCTAACCCCTTATATATATATATACAGGGTGTTTGGTTCCGGGTTTTACATATTTTCAGGGTAGATAGGGCTCCTAAAGTTATGAAAAAAATCCCATGAAACATAGGGTCGGAAATGACTGCTAAGTGAGTTATTCAACATTTTATGTTTTTTTTGTATTGTCAACATTGATTAGCTATATTTTTTTAATCTTAATGTGGTTTTCTGATTTCAACATACCAAATGAAAGATTAAAGCCTTAGCTATCAATGCTCTTTGAAAAAGAACTCGATTAAAGTTAATTGTCATACATTAAAATTGAAAAGTATGTTGAAAGTACCAAAAAAACTGGTGAAATTTCATACATTTTAGTGTTTTTAAGTTGAAAATTTTCATTTATGTTTATTTAGTTGTTCTACAAAACATTTTCCATGCAGTTCCCTAGATTTGTGTCTTTGGTAGTAACCTTGTAGGCTTTATGGTTTCTTCGTAATTATTGATTTAAAACAGCCATAAAAAAATTGTGACGTTTTCTTAAAATGCGCTATAGTCACCCTATTCGTTCGTACGTTCGGCTGTTGCAGTGGACTACGCACATGAAAATTTGGTAGAATGTTATTGTAAATGTTTAGCTACATTCTTAACTTTTCATTACCGCACATCTCCTGCGCCGAAAGAAAACATAACTGCGGAGATGTTTCGCGGTATCGAATATTGCTCAGTCTCAGCAGAAAACACAACGAGAGACACCGAATCAGCGAATTCTGAGAGCGGAAGGGAGAGAAGTAGGTAGGTAGGTAGGCCACAGATGCTGCATGAGGATTTTCGCTTGAACAACGACGGGAGAAATGATTCCGAGAGGGTCGAAGAGTTGAGCGATGGTCGAAAGAATGTTGCGCTTGGTTGTTGACGATGATTGACGTATCGAACTTGAAAACGTCTGCCTCAGGTTCCCAACTGATGCCGAGGGTTTTGATGGTCTCTCCGGGGCCGAACTTGATGAAAGATTGAGTGCCGAGAAGCTCTGGAGGAAGACCATCCAAGACCTGCAGCAAATTCGAGCACCACTTCCGCAAAAGAAAACCACTCTTCTGCAGAAGCTGCATCAACTCCGTGCGCAACTGGATTGCGCCATCGATTGTGTTGTCACCGGTAATGAAGTCGTCCACGTACACATTCTTCCTCAGTGCCTTACTTGCCTTCGGATATTCACTTCCATGATCTTCAGCTAACTGCAACAGAGTTCCCGTAGCTAGAAACGAAGACGGCGCGAGTCCATACGTAACGGTGCACAGCTCATAAGCTTGAACGGTTCCGCTGCTACTGGGTGGCCACAGAATCTTCTGCAATGGCCGATCTGTATGGTGCATCAATACCTGCCGGTACATCTTCTCCGCATCCGCCACTACTGCGATCTTGACCATCCGAAAACGAAGATGAATATCCAGAATGTCGTCCTGAACAACTGGCCCAACTAGCAGCGCATCGTTGAGAGAATGTCCGGTGCTAGTTTTCGCTGAGCCATCGAACACAACTCGAACCTTGGTCGTCGTGCTCGATTGTTTCACCACGGGATGGTGCGGGAGGTAGCAATTGGTTGATCCATTATTATCGTCATGGGGAGCGAGAACCATATGGCCGAGACGGATGTATTCTTTCATGAACGCGTAATACTGAGCCTTCATTTCATCATCCTTTTGCAGCCTCTTGTCCAACCACTGTAGACGCCGCATTGCCATGGCTCTGGATTCCCCAATCATCTGGTCACATTGGGGATGTTTGGGCATCCGAACGATATATCGTCCGGTAGGATCTCGGGAAACTGTCTGCTGATAGAAATCCTCGCAATTCTGCTCGTCTACGGAGTAATTTGAGCCGCTTACTTCCTCGATCTGCCAAAATCGCTGCAGCAGTTCATCAACCGGTAAAACTGTCGCCACATGACAAGTTGCTATTGGCTGCTGGTAATTACCGCTGGACTCATCGATCTTTCCAGAGGCAATCCACCCAAACACGGTTTCGACGAATAGGAGACTTGGGAGGCGGAACCGTCCATTCCGCAAAAAGGAAAAGAAGTGAGCAGCTCCAATGATCATGTCCACCCTACGAGGTGTGCCAAAGTCGGGATCCGCCAGTGGAAGATCGTTGGGAAGCTTCAGTTCAGATGCGTTGAACGGTACGGATGGAGTGTCGCTGGTCACTTTCCGCAATACCAGGAAATCAATCACCTCACGAAAGTCGGACACACGTGATCGCACCTCGGCAGTTACTTCATGCTTGGCATTCGTAACGGTCCCATCTACGCCAGCGATCGGCACGTTAACAGACCTACGGTTAAGGTGAAGTTGCTGACAAAGACGCTCGCTAATCGCATTCGGTTGGGATCCAGTATCCAACAAGACACGGGCGATGTGCTCTTGACCGTACGCATCTACTACCAACAAGACTACGGTGGTCAGGAGAACACTGGTTGATTGAGCTACTGCCATC